GGTCCAAAAAATTTTTTTTTTAAAAAGGGGTTTTTTGTTTTTTTTTTTTTTTTTTTTTTTTTTTTTTAAAGTGCTGTCTGGACAGCAATATTAGTATCAAAAAAAGCTATGTTTAACAAACAGGACAAAAGGCTGCATGTCATTCCTCTCACTTGCTCTCTTTCTAGAAATCTACTGAAGTAAAACCAGTAGTCCTTGCTTTTCTTTCTCCTCACACATTGAAATTTGGGATGTTTTTTAATGTGCAGATTGAGGTGCAAGCTAGCAGTGGAGCAACATCAGACTTGTGGCTTCTTAGAACTTTCTTTGTGAGCTGAATGCAGAGAAACCATGGCTACGGCAGAAAGCTTTTGTGAAAGACCTGCTCTTGGCTACAAGACAAACAACAGGCTGCTGTACGCAGCACCTTGCCTCCGAACTGGAGACTGGCCATTTAAATTCAAGAGGGTTTTGATAATTTTTCACACAAATGTTTGAATATCGTGGAGAATAGTACATAGTTTAAGAACATCTGACATTGATATCAGCTGCGTTTCTTAGCAGTTGTGATACAGTACAGCTCACTTCATAGGTGGTGTTATCTTCCTTATGCGGAGTACATTGCTATATTCAAAGATGATAAAAAGCACTTATTAGAATTTTATATACATGTGTGGTTTTACTTATTTTTTTTCCTGATTTTTAAGGGGAACCAGAATTTGCAGATGTTAATTCTTCATCTTTTTACTGTCCACCGGGACTTTTTTCATGTGGGGATGGACAATGTATTTCATCTGACAAATTTTGTGATTTTACACCTGACTGTTCAAATAGCCAAGATGAAGCCAAGTGCCGTAAGTGAAAATTTAAAGATCTAGGTTGCTAAGATCCTGTGACTGTTTGTTTGTCCTATTGGCCAAGCTTTCAAGACTTCGTAAATGTTGTCATTTAATTAAAAGCTCTTGAGAAATAGTTACTTCATATTGATTCTATTTTTAATTTTTCCTCTTTTATTTTCTGTAACAACTACTTCCTTCTTAACATTAAAACCAGAAAAAAAAGGTGTTTGATTTATTATTTAGTAGCAAGTGTTGCTTAAAATACAGTATTTTATTTTATAACTCATAAGATGTTTAGTGTCAGGTACAGAGTTACACTTAACAAAATCTTAGTCTGTAAAATGTTGGAAGCTGATTCAGAAAGCCATTATAAAATAAACCAAAAAGAGGTCGTGCATATACTTTTGCAGACATGTTCTCATACATACAAAATTGTACTAAAAAAAATGTGAGGAAAATACGTTACACTGGTACAAATATGTTTCACTGGCACAAATTTGGAAATTCTGTCACACCACTGCGTGAGATGCCTTTTCTTAAAGGGTAGATGGTCCTGGCATTAAACCTGAGAAACAAATGAGACAGAAAACATTAAAAATGCAGTGGCCACAGACTTGCATTCAAATTGTATATTTAGTATACCTAGTTTTGGTGTGAAGATACCACAGCTGGACTGGTAAATAAAGCATCTGTGCATAGATATGGTCACAGATATAGTTTAGGCTGTGTCAACATTTTCTGTTTGGATGTGTTGTGAATCCTATCTGAGCTACGTGCCTGGATTGTTTCTGCAGGGAAACTAACACGTGGTAAAGTGGAGGGAGGTGGTGCGTCTCAGAGTCCCTTTCCACTGTACAGTCAGAAGGGAGCTTGGAAATGTACCAGGACCTCTAATACGTACCTTCAAAAGTTTTACTGATTCATTTACTTACCTGCTCTGTGTAAGAATGGTGATAGTGGTTATAATTTCTATCTTTGAAATGAGTCTCTTGCTTTTGTGTTGAACTATCAACTATGCTACAAAAGTCATGTTGTATTTTCAAAGGGAGTTGCCATGAGCAATATTTAGTATAGGGTTTTCTTAAAAAAAGAGCATGATGGTTTCTAGCATTCTCACACATAACAGAAATATTGCAGATAAGATCCTTATAGTATTTTCTGACTGCGCTGTGTTATGCATCATAAAGCATAAAATTCTTCACAGGTACTAATACAATCCAAAATCTATGCTTATATTTTCTAGTTTTTATTAGGAAATTTGAGAGGTGTTGCTCAGCTAAAAAAAAATCTTTGACTTTTAGCAGATAAATAATAGGGAAACTCAATTTCTCTTTCTTTTTTCTCTGATTTTATAACAGAAGAAACTTTTCTTACACCCAAGTCTCACTTGCCCAGACAATACATTAACAATGCCATGTTAAAGGTTGAACTATGGAGCTGTTACAAGTATATTTATGGTGGTCTTTGCTCTAAATATATTGCTTACTTATTAATCATTGTTGTACTGCTGTGCTGGCTCAGTGTGTGCTAGTGCTGCGGCTTGTACTGTGGGAAGCAGAATGCAGGTACACAAATGTCTCTGTAAGTAGTTTGTCATGTTGACTATTTCCAAGCAATAAATTTGCCTTTCAGCGTGTTACTCTGGTAGTCTACAGCACTAGAAGAGCTCTTATAATTCTCAAACAGTATTTCATCATCTTCATGCTTATGTAGTGTACCATTACTTTCTAGATTTTGTTATGTAAATTTCTGAAATTAGATGCAAGCATTTAATTTCTCTCAGTCACTTTTCCTATTTTCTTAGCTTGGCTAAGCATGGATGTTTTGTTGATTCACCACCTACAACTACTTTGTTCCTTTTGTCAATATTAATACTTTTTCCCACTATGTTCCACCTGCTGGTGATTGTATGCTTCTTAACCTTGCTCTAATGTAAGTTTTTCCTCTTAGTATGGGAACCAGGGAAGGATATTACATGGGCTTAAAATATCTTTCTAAATATTTATCATTTAAATATTTTTCTCTTACGTTCCAGCAAGATTGTTTCCTTAGATACTTGGGTCCACCAAGTCCACTGAACAAGCGGGATCTCCACGCAATTTTCTTGTCTCACAAGATCAGTCTTCTCTTGATTCTAATCACTTCTCAGATGAGCTGTTCTTTCTGCCAGGAGTGGAAGAAGAAAGTTTGAAGATCTCCACTTCTTGGAGTATCTTTCTTATCTCAGTGTAGGTTTCTGAGTTCCCAGTTCTTGCAGGACACTATCTCTCTCACTTCTCTTCGTATACAGGATAGCCACCAAATTTGTTTGCTCCACTGACATCTTTGTTCTTAGAACCACATTTATGTTGTTGAACCTGACGCATGATGAGATTATTCTTTCTAGGTTTCTAGGTTCCTAGTTGCATTTTACAAAAATACATATCTTAGACTGAAAAAATAATCCAAATTTATTCTGATTAGTTGAGAAAAGTAAAACAATATAAAATATAAAATACTAAATGTTTTCTTTCTCAAGTGCCACTACTCCTGACTATTAGTTCACAGCTTTTCTTCTACAGCTGAAGAATTTACTATCACTATAAAGCTACCATACATGGCTTATACATGCATTAAAGCAGAAGAGAGAAGCATCTGCCTTTTTCAAGCTGGAGGTTTACAGCAGTAACATAACCTACCTATCACATTGTGTGCTTGTGCTCTGGAAGGTGAATGTACAGTATAATTTCTAAGGTCTACATCCTTTGCATTTGGCGGAGTCTAAATATTCACTTTTCCAAGCTAAGAATGATAATGATGGTGTAGATAGTAAAGTCAGACTGGAAAGTAATCTGGTAACATTCATGCATTCCTGGTATTCTGTCTGACCTTTGGCCATTCATTCATCATGTTCTGTCTTTCATGTTTTTTTCTGTCTGCTTATGGTGTAGATTATCAGGAATAATTATCCAATTTTATATATAAAATACATATGAAATAGTTTACATTTTGATAAATATAGAACACATTTTTCTTTACGTCTTTATAAATGAAATATGCATTTAATGTCTATCTCTATGCTGTATAATTTAGTACGGCGTAAGCATGCTCAAGTTAGTCTTAAGTAATTCATAAACTGGACACAATCTATATGTTAGTACAGAATTTTATGTAGCTTAATTTGACTTAGGCAAATAAAGAGAATGATGCATATGTTGTTCCTTAAAAACTACTTCTGTAGCATAATTGTTTAGCTGTAAGCATTATTGCCTTTCTAATGGCCACCTTTATATAAGTAATAATAATTTCCTTAGTATTATAAGAAACATTCCCTTGATTACCTAAACATTACCTTGATTGCCATAAAACTTCTGCTGTGGTTATAGGGTAACTCTTCCAAAATTTAACCTTTGGAGTCAAAATCTTGCGTGCTAAAATGTCCATCTCATACGCTTGCTACACCTTCATTTCAGCCAGACAATTCAGTTGTTTTTAAAGCTGAGACCAGAAGCAGCAGCCAACTCACATGGATGAGCTTAAGTTCAAGGAGTGAAAAGATTGTCAGCTTGTAAACCAGAGAAGAGACCTGAAACTGGAACTGCACAGACAACTGCTTTAGGATCTGTTCGTGGAAGTTAAATGGGGAAAGTCATCTACAGTGACAGGAAACTGCCATTGTCTGTGAATAACAAGGAATGGCTGCAGAGGCTGCATTGCTTGAGCTCGCTGGTGTGGGACAGAAGTAACCAGGAGGCTGGGGGAAGCCAGGTCGAGAAGGACATGGGCTCCTGTGGGGGAAAGGTTAAGACCAGATGCTCAAAGAGTCAGTGAAATGGTGTCAGAAGAGATAACAATAATGAAAGGTAAAAAGTTTTTTAAGAGAGAATAAAACAAGGAGAGAATGGGAATGGGGAATATGGATGTGGAGCAGTGATGCTTTGGGTGGGATTAGTATAAAGTGTGTCAGTAAGTGGCAAAAACCTGAGACTTCATGAGAGGACCTGGAGCAAGGACCTGTCTGGGGACATGTCCAGGCAAAGAGATGAGGACTGGATGGGGAAAGACAGTGAGGATTTCCAGCTTTCCAGTGAGACTAGGACTGAGATAAGGGGTCAAACGAGCCGTTGTGGAATAGGTAAAAGGGGAAAGGCTGTAGAAAGGAAGAGCACTGAGGAAAGGGAAAAATACTTTTCTGTTGGAGACTATGCATACCTTCGTAGTTTCTATAGAACCCAGAAGTCATCTGTTTTTTCTACTTCTGACAGCAAATGTCTATCTAATATTTTGGGAAAAAAAGTATATCTCATTGTATAGTTATTTCTGTCTATTTTCTTGCAAATTATGCACCATGACAACAAATATTGCATGAGCTCCAGTGGCAGAGAACCACAGGGTAAATAGCAAGATGGCCTGAATAATGACTATCAGACTTTGTTTTTGTTTAGTTCAACAAAAACATGAACACTCCCCTTCAGTTAGGAGGAACATTTTAATGGATATAGGAAGACAAACACTTCATTGTTAAAGATTGCCTAAATTTCTCTTGTTTTATTTCACCTGGACCTGGGTATCCAATGTCCTAAATAACTACATTATTGTGTTCAAGAAATTTAAATCTCTTCAGACTTCATTAACATTTTTGAATGGAGGAGACATTTGGACCTAATTTGCTAAGTTCCCAATGAAAATGTCAATCAAATGTAATTTGATTATTTTGGAAGCTTTTATTGTTTTAGGACTATTTCCCACATCAATACACAGTAATCACTTGTATTAGGAACGTGAGAAGCATTTGCAAATGACAGTATCATATGAATTGAGAGATTTCCAGAAAATGTCAGATCTGATAAACCAGTGTTTTTGGACACTGTTTCACTTAAAAGTGCTGTTATAAACCGGCTTTTAGTTAGACGATTGAATATCTGCCTCAGTGCACAGGATGGACTGCCATCAAAATCAGAGTTGTGTAGTGAAGAATATTTTTATATCGTTATTTAAAAAATAAAATTGTGTCAATTCCATGTGACAGTACAGTTATTTTTTGAAGGTGTCAGGGTTATTTTATTTCAATGTAAGCATCCATGCTTAAGTTAAATGTATGGTCTGGTGCATCCTTTCTTTTATATTTTGTCTCTGTTATAAGCTACAGATGGAAGAAGTCTGGGCTCAGACTTAACAGTTTTGTCTTATTTGCCTCTTTTGGTGTAACCATCTGTGTCCAAGGTTTGTAATATTTTTTGGTGTAGTTCTTGTGGGAATATCGACAGTCTCTTCTATAGAGCAAAAACCAAGTCAGAAATAGCCCTTCATATTCCCTTATTGTTATATTTGGTCAGTGGATTCTCAGTCATTTCCATCATGCCTAGGACCTTCAATGTTTATACATATTTTTGATCTTAATTTTATTCTATCAAATATCCTATTAAATAATTTCTTTATTTTTATTGGCACATTTGATCTACATAATTTTATCATTGACATTTCTGATCCACACTCACCATGTGTATAGAAAACTCATATTTTCTTTGATCTCTTAAATATTATTGGGCCTTCCATGGTTGTGAAATGATTTCTTTTATAAGTGGCATTAATAACTGTACATTTCTATATGCTTTGCTTAATAATCCACAAAAATTTGTCTGTTTAACCAACAGCAGCACTTGCTTGCCTGGTTAATAATTTTTCCATTCTTTCTAACAAATGGTATGTGATAATGTGATACAGTTCTTAAAGAAGAGCAAAAAGAAAAAAAAATTAACACAGCAAAACAAAAAAACTCCCATATCTTCCATCAATAAACATTTATGTAATTCTGATTTCCAAGAGACTTTGATTCTGAAATGTATGTTTTCTAGGCCATAATCATATGGCCACTGGAAGTTGTGATGTTATAAAATAATGGTAGAATTCAGGCAGTCACGTCTGAATATTTGTTTACTTATGCCATGCACAGAATTAATAAAATATTGCTTAAAAATTCTTGACACAATTTTCTTAATGTTTTCCATTAAAAGCCTGTTATAATTACAGAACTCAAAAATATATTTTTGTGATTTGAGGATTTTTTTAAAGTGCAGAAGAAGGAAACCTAATATTTCTTAATTTTTACATAATATATATTTGTCAGTTTGCATTCATTCATACATGACACTCTTCCACTCCTTTCTTTCCTATTTTGTATTATGCAAATTTTCTAAAATATCACTCTTAAATGAAGAATTGAAGAAAGCAGCTGAATATGTTTTTCAAATCTTTTTCACTCCAGTAGTTTGTGTTTCAGAGATTTCCTCATTTTACCATTATCATAGTGTCTCAGTAATGCCTGATATTTAACTTCACTCCTATTATAACCAGAGAAAGGGGTTTATTATCATTAGCATACTTGCTGAGACTCAGGAAATAAGGGATTTGATTTCTGGTTCCGACACTGATTCCCTAAAAAATCTTGTAGAAGGTTTGTTACTGCTTTGTGTGCTCTGTGTTCTTGTCCTTTAACATGAGAATTGTGAGGTGTTTTCAGAGCCTCCGTACCTGCTTTGCATGCTTTGGCGGCAACGCCCCTAGAGGGAAGGACTTGTTTTGCTGAATGCATTGCATATAACAATGGCTTGGCTGTTCCTGTGGGGCTGCTGTTTTACCCAACTTGTAAAACAAACAACCCATCTTGTACTTTGCCTCTCTGTGCCCCTTTCCTAGACTTCTTCCTAGAACATTGGTGGCATATTATAAACATCTTATTTCCTTTCATACTGCAAAGCTTGCTTAGTAATTTAATGCACTGAGAAAGAGTGAAATGTCTCTTTCCCCATTTCAGCTGCTGTATGTGACTTTGAAAGAGACAGCTGTGGTTGGGTTGAAACTGCAAATGAAGATGAATTTGACTGGGTAAGAAGTTCGAGTAGTGCTCTTGCACCTGCTTTTCAGAAGCAAGCTCCTCCGCAGGATCATACCTACAACAAATCTGAAGGTAAGACAAGCCAGGCCTAGAAACAAAGAAGTGGCATAGATATATGTGCTCTTTAATCAGATTTAAAGTGGAGGACATGAATGCTTTCAAAACCTTCACAAACTCTTTCTTCAGCCTGAAATGTTGATTTCTGTTTTGTTTTGATAGGTCATTTTATGTTCATTCTGAAAAACAGCAGCAGCATTTCACAAGTAGCTCAGCTACGAAGCCCAGAGTTCAGACAAACTGGATCAAATTGCACATTGTCCTTTTGGTATGGAATAATTTAGACTTAAAATTCATGGACTGTGTCACTTTGCTTTTATTGGACTGAAACTGAGATTATAGTTTGCAATAGACACACCTTCCTGTACAATATTCATTAAATTTTATTCTTTAATCATATTTTCCTCATTGTGAACAATATGCAAAAATAAGTTGAAATACTTGGAGAACAGAACTGAAACGTGGGATGATTTTGTTGTCAGGCTTTGAGCAAAATTATATTAAAAGATTCTATCTGCATGTACATAGACAAATAACAGTCATTTCACCAACATTTCTGTTCTGATTAAGTACATTTGAAAATGTTCTGGAACTCTGTTCAATAACAGGAAACCATCCAAAAATCTAGTAGCTCCTTGAGTCACCTACAGTATCCAAAATTAAATTGTATCATCTTTAAGTGAAAGTTCCAGTGGAAGAATTGGAGCTTTTATTCTAATCCTTTCTTTATATACATACTAAAATCCAACCCCTTTCAGTTATTTTCTTGTCTCGGTCTCTGTGCAGTATTTACAAAGAGGGACAGAAAAAGTAATCTGTGATAATCTATGTACTAAAGTCAAGAGTGGTGCTACTTTTTAAATAAATATTTTGTCTGACTTTGATATTATTAAGTGAAGCTTTTCTCCATAATGTCAAATACATTTGCCAGAAGAAGAGGAAATGTCTTTTTATCAAAAACTCAAGACCTGAAGTTGGAGTACAGGTCTGGAAATTACAACTTGTTGGTTCTGGTTCTGGTTCTGTCTCCCAGTTTTGTTGTATGATTGCTCACCCATGTGTATACGATTTTTAAATGTTTTGAAATCCTCCAAAAATGCTGTAAAAATGCAACATGTTAACAATAACTAATGTAGATAGAAGGCATGCTTTTATATTTAGTAAGTGTTCTGTTTTTACTTCATGAAACGTTACAATTATGTATTTAATTAAATTTATTTAAAAATTATGCATATGACTGAGCAGTGTTTATTGCTTAACGTGAAAACAAATGCATCTCTTCAGTTGTGGGCTATAATTTAAAGAAGTATGTTTCTTCTCTCATAATCTTTAATCCTTGAAATAAGCCCTAGACTGATAGAGCAGACTACCGTACCATCATACAGAAAGTAGATTGAACTACAGGTAAACTGGAAATATGCACTGTGGACTTCCTATATTTCATGGAGCTAAAAGACCTTATACTTGATGTGGTCCTCTGTCATTGTTTGCACCCTCAACTTTTTTTTATCATTTTAGGTATTACAATTACGGACAGTCAGTTGGAGCGGCAGAGATGCAACTGCTTGTGGGTGGGATGAAACAGCCTACTGTTCTTTGGAGGGCATATTACAACGAGGGAAATCAATGGCTCAAGGCAGTCATTCAGCTTGGACGCCTTCCACATCCTTTTCAATTATCACTTGATAAAATCAGTCTGGGTTTTTATGATGGTGTCTCAGCAATTGATGATATTATGTTTGAAAATTGTGCTTGTCCACACCCAGCATTAAGTTGTGAAGGTCCTAATCGTTTCTGGTGCAGAGACACAAAAGCATGTATTGATAGTTTATTGGTCTGTGATCTTGTGGATAACTGTGGGGATGGATCAGATGAAGAAAACTGTAGTAAGTACTTTCCATTGTTGTTTACTTTATCTCAAACCAAAATTTACTTGCTAAATTAATCACTGGAGTAAAAAAGCGTGGTACTGCTACAGCCTATCAATGTCACAGCCAGTGATGATTCAACTGAATACAGCTACTGATGAAACAGATTGAAAAAGTTTAACTTAAATGCACATGATGAGTTACAACTGAGGGTAAATGTAATTCATTCTCCTTTATTCAAACGAGTCATATTTATATAACCTTTGTAAAACACATATGTGCATTACAAGTTTAAGAGAATTCACATTCTGACAGTTGATTTGGGTTAAGATGTTGACGGAAGTACAGTGTAAGACATGTATGGACCAAGAGGAATTTATGTCCTATCTCTTTTTATGACCTATATCTCTTTGTAGAAAACATTAAAATATCTGTACCAGAAGATACTATTCATCCTGGGGATAACAGTCTCTTTCAAAGAAGGAACTTGTAAGAAATGAGGAACGCTGTGGGTTGTTCACATTTTTTACATTCACCTTGCAGTGCTGAAGGGTGCTGTTGATGATTTTCTCCTCGAAGCGTGCATTCATCAATTTTAAGAACTCAAGAACATTAATATAATATAAAATTAACTAGCAGTTGCGTTATCACATCCTGAGGTAACTAAATTATGCAAATCACATTGAGTTTGAGAAACAGGGGACACCTTACATGCCTGAGAGGATACAAGCCTGCACTGATATCTGCAGAATATTGACTTAAAACTGATCTGAATTTAAAAGAAAGTGAAGGCTTTCCAGCCTATCTCAGTTTTCCCACTTGTAAAGTGTCTTTCTTCTTTATAATCCATTTTGAGGTCTATAGTAAGAAAGTACTAGGAGACTTTCATGGTTTTGCTGTTTTAAACATAATAAAAATAACAGCTTAATTAAAAACACCACAGTGAATTGCTGCGTAGGAAGGGCAGATGCAAAGATGAAATGCAAGTTCTCCACCTTTGGTACACATTTTAATTTTTTACATTAGAAGTAATTTGCCTAATCAATGTACTTTGCCTTGGTGTGAAATAATAAAATGTAGTTGTGTTATAAATGCCTCTCGATTTTAGCTGTGATAAAACTATCAGCCTCTAGCTAGCTACTGTGAAGAAAGTTAACTCTGTATCAGCTGAAACCATGACACATACTACTATTATTGAGGATGATAAAGATCTAAAACACAACCCATTTTTACTTCTGTCGTGCAAAAACATATTAGGTCATTTATTGCAGAAACCTACAAGACTATATCCTGTGGTTTGTTTCATACAGTTAAACTCAGTTTTAACTCCTTTTCTCAGTTAAATTTAAATTAAAGAACTTTACATTTTGACATCACATGTATATATGTATATATATAAATATATGTATATATA